AATAAGCTATCTCTAAATTCTAAGTTACTTCTCCGCCTTTTTTCAGCGAAATTGATTTAGTCAAGAAGTTTCTATAGTAACTAACAGAACTATCTTTCATACATTTCTCATTTATTAAATTTCTATATTTAATAAGTAATGATAATATTAACGGCTTATCTTAGCGTGGGGGTCAGGCTTTAATCTAACTGCATCACGCTCAAAGAGGGGGGCCCCACGAAGCCTCAACGCGGGCATTGACAGCTCAGCAACGGCGTGTTCTAAAAGAATTCGTCGGGGTCACGGTGATGCAACCTGCCCACGTTTGTAATACATTAGGCCAAGCTACTCGTACGTCACTAACTTAAGTGTCATATGTAACAAACAGATTTTCCAAAAACTCTTCACTATCATAAAATAAATATTACCTACTTATTTCCTATGGCTACTTCACGATTCCTTTACAGATGTAAAGGATTTTCTATTATTATATCATATATCTATTATAATTGCCCGCATGGTTGGCATGTTCTGTGTTTGGCGCGGCTGGACAACTGGCTTCCGTGCAACATGTCGTGGGTTTGATTCCCCTACGATATTCCTCTTTGTGTGATCCACAAATACTTGTTTCGGTTATGAGTGTCATTTGCATTTGAAATTGTATATTTGCAACCACAACACGGGAGAAAGTCGTAATGTTGGGAAACATTTAACTAAATATATAGTTTAGGAGTTTTTCTTTACAATACCAATTATAGCTATTAATATGTATATCAACAAATATCGAAACATCGACAAAAGTAACGCCCGAATGACTGACGTTAGCTTTGTTTTTATTTGTAAAACAGGTTTTCGAAGTACCTTCCCACATAGGCACATACTTTTAAGCATCTCTACCGAATGTATGAACTTGAAAAGATTGTTACAAAACAGTCGGTTAACGAATTAACCTTTGAAACTTCAAATCCAATTCAAATAAAATAATGTATCTAGTTAATACGATAACTTTGTACGTGTTATTTTTATAATTAAGTTAAACATATAGACAAAAAGAAATAATAGGAATAGTTCATTGATTAATTTTCGTCTATTGGTGTGAATACTTAGTTCAAAATAAAAAAATTAAGTACATAGTCTTAATACATTACTGATTCATATAATTATGTAGGATATTATGTAGACAAATATTTGAGGTATGTCACAATTACTACTATGATGACTACAAAATTAATGGTACGATTGAACATCTTTGACCAGTGTTGTAAATTCTGAATGAATACTAGCAACTTATTCTAAAAATATTTAGGTTCCTAAAGGTGTGTAATGTAAGTCAAATTATGGAAACTTATTAAATATACCAAAACTAAGAATACCAGATTTCTAGAGGTTAGGGAGTAAAAGCTGTGCCGCTGTGGTGCAGCAAAGTATTTGTTAGTAAACGTTTAGATCAACTTTTGGTCTATCTAACTTGCGGATAATAATTATATTGACGTATTGTCCCGATACAAAATATTTAAGGTTGACAAAAACCTAAGCAAACCCTGTCAAATAGGTCCTTAATCTAGCTAAACAATATCACGATAGATATGCAAAACATTGGTTTATGAAGAAAATTATGTAATACCTAATACCATCATGAAAATAACAATACATAATAAATAGGGTTTATCATCATTCATCTATGCTGACACAGTTATCTGATAATAAAACTTGGATATTACTTATTATGAAGTCAACAATAGATTGTCAGATTTACCGCTGCAGTTTGAAATAATTAATTTACCTTAAATCTCAAGTCTCCGACGGGAGGAACCGCGAAGGGGATAGCTGTAAATGCTGCTATTTGCCTCCCTCCTCTAGTTTGCATGTAGTACCCTGCCACTTCGCCTAGCGGGGTCCGTACAACCGGCTGTTTCTCGCTCTTCACATCACTGACATAAATCGTTAAAAGAAAATTTAAAGCAACGAATATCACAATAGGCTTAAACATTTTTCTAAAGTAGTCTAATAAATGAAACCGGTTTGACGTGACCGCATGCAGATGATCGCGCTGCTTCGAAAGCAAACACGAAATGATAACAAACGACGGTGAGCCTCAGGTTTTTATTGTACCAATAGCGATTCTTGTGATTCTAAGCAAATGAACTTACACTGCAGGATTATGTTACAATGTGGCTTTTCCTACTTACTCTACTATAGGTCCTACACTATAGCTGTTTTCGTAGGAAAAGTGATTCAATACAAACGTCCAACATAATGCATTCAATATTTTCCTGATAAATTCTACCTGCGGTAAAGGTTTATTACTTAAATGTTATTACATTCTGCAGAAAATATAACGTAACGTAGATTTTATGATCTATGCGCAATTTACTTCTTGTTGATATGGGTTTAAGAACTAGGTAGGTACCTCACATGTTTTAGACTAGCACGTCACACAAAAATGATCCTTCAAGAAAATACCTCACCGGACTGGATTGTCAGAGACTTTATTACCAGAATAACTAGTAAAATATTGTGCAATTTGTGCAAGGTCTTCAACTAGAGCATTTAATACGTAAATTTTCGTCAGAAGACCAATACCTTGATGATTGTTAGGTCTACAAGTACAAACAAGTGGAAACTTTGCACTTCCTAACAAAATAATATAAATTAGGTTAGAGAACTCTTAAATAGGAATAAGGAGACTAATGGGTCATATCTCAAATTTGGGCACGTGAAGTCGGACTCCCAGTAATAAACCTCAGAAGACGCTTGCATCCAACATAAATGCTGTAACGGAGTCCGAAAGGGAGTACCTATTTCTTTTTTTTTTAAGGGGGGAAAATCATCGAATGACCTCTCCCGCCTGGGTGAGGCGGGAGGGAGTGTCAGACTCTTACTGACTAAAAACCACCCCGTTCCTTCTCCTGCACGTCGAGCCGGAGCCCCGGTTACCCGTTTGGTCTAACAAACTTATTTGTTACCGAGCAAGAGATTCACACAGAACACGTGGCTTTCGTCCAGCAGTGGACGTCTTCATGAAGATGATGATGACGAAATTCACAGTATAACACAATCTAAATATCAGATATGTGCACTTGTATGTAACTCAAAAATCATTAAGTTCATATATTATGTAGCATAAAGTATACCTCAATAGTAGGTAACTATACAAATAAAGTTGAAGCGCCTATTATTTATATATAGCAACAATGCTAAAGATAGTATACTGGTGTACTGTATAAGTAGGAGCTAAATGATAACTTTACACAAAACCAAAAATTGGCTAACAAGAATATATTAGTAGTTCTATAGAATCGGGGCTAATGTGCAACACTCTATATCATTTTTGTTCTTAAAAGTTGTCCATTATTTGTTAATTTTCGTAAAATTTTTAGTAAAAATGAATGTAGAAGAAAATATGATATGGTAGTCCATGGTTATTGTGTTATTCCTTAACCGATTACTCATTTCCACCAATCTTCACATCCCAATTCAAACAGCATATTTTGTACAAAAATTAACAATAAGTTCTATTGCTCTATTCTACGATATCCTTCAGTATTCAAAAACTATTATTTTGAATACGTTGCTTTGCCCATTGCTCATATTTTTCTGTTCTTCATTAAGGAGTTTTATCTTTTATATGACGACCCCATCACACCCTTTTAGTCAATCGTACTGGTTTTTAAACGTATTTCATCGACATCAGTAATTCAGGAATATTTCGTTTATATCGATCGATAGACCACATTAAGCATAACACAATTCATTCCTTCAGGAACAAAGCAGACTCGTGACAGACCAGTAGATAAGAGTAGCATAACATAACATAACATCACGCCTTTTTATCCCCGAAAAAGGGTAGGCAGAGGTGCACATTACGACACTTAATGCCACTGTAATGTAACACCCACTTTTCACTATTTATGTTATGAGTCCCATGTAATAGGGGGTGAGCCTATTGCCATATACCGGGCACAGTTCCAGACTCCGTGCTACCACTAAGAAAAACCTAGTAATACTTTACCCGACCCGCGAATCGAACCCGAGACCCCTTGCCCGGCAGTCGCACTTGCGACCACTCGACCAATGAGGCAGGCCAAAGAGTAGCATATTGAGTAGTAAATTTACCTTTAAAAACATTATTAATATCCACGCTGTCCATACCTACGGTAGTTTTGTAATCCGATAAAGATGGGCTAAGTCTAAAGCCCTTAGGACAAAGGTTAATTATAGACAGTGCCACTTCCCCAATAATGTCTCAAAATGTTACGATGCACATGTAAATACTTGCGTAGGTACATTTCATTTGCATCTCATGAAATATTGCCAAATTGAAGGAACCCCCGGCACATCAATGTACTTAATACTTGTCGTGGAACTCCTCCGGTCTTTCCCGTAGAGGACAATGAGGAAACCAATTTAAACAGAAAATATATGATAACAGAAAGTAAGGTACCTAAATCATGCAAAATAAAGGTAGCTGAGTAAAATCAAGTGAATATTAAGTAGGTACTCATTGAAAGTATCGGTTCCCACAATGGAGTATAATCATAATCATAATCACAATACACGCTAAGGTTTCACTCTCAGATGTAGGTCAATAAGACGATGGCAATTGGTTTAATTTTTATGTAAGTATCCAATTTGTTAACCTTTGGACAACAATGCGTATTATATTGCATTCATTGCCCTGCGTTATCAATAATATTGCAGCATGAGTTTCATAGTTTCGAATTCCTAGTACGCTTTAAAAGATAAAGTTTGGTTTGGTAACCGCTTAAAATCTCATTGACTTCACTCGTATTCATGGCTGTACATATAATACTTATCTTAATTACAACTTTACCTATTATTAGTTACTAATCATATAAATGTAATGTCATGTAATCTGTATGAATGGTGTGAAGTAAAGAACCTACCTATTTATCTAATATTTCTGTCACTCAATAATACCCATAATATCTCCCAATTTACTTATTTAAATAAAAATAGAGAATCGGAAAGTATTTTTATTGGAACGCTCACTGAACCTCTTACTTTTTGGAAGGCTGAGTTCTCTTCATTTTTCTGTTTAATATGATAAATATTCTGTGCAACAAATACGACCGTCTCCGCGTTCTATACCTCACATTTTTTTCTGTAAGTGATAAAGGTGATTCTTCTTTAGTTTCCGTCTGTGGACTAGATTTAGGTGTTAGGCTAATATTCCTTCTTCTGTATCTGGTATTGGTCGTACAATAATGTTTTTCATTCTTTCTTTTCTCTTCAATTTCATTAATTTTCCGTAGTATGTCATCATTCTGTTGGACTATCCGATCTGCGACACTTTTAATCTGTGCTAGTTCGCTGTTCAATTTCGGCAGTTGAATTTTATTCACAAGCTCAAACTTTTCGCTTATGGCACTTACAGCTGCCATTAATCCAGCGTGATCTTTCTCTTTACTGCTTATATCTGAGCCGCTGGCATGTGTGCTCACATAGTTCTGACAGAGAGAACACTTCCATTGATAACCTCTATCGCCGCTTTCGCGGTGGTCTTTCACAGAATCACTGACACATCTCATATGGAAACAAGACTCACAAATCCCACATTTGAGACCTTCACCGCTTCTGAGAGACCGCTGACAGCGTCTACATATCATCCTGAAACCAACAGAACATTAACCTTTGGGTCGGAACGACCTGTGCCTGTAGGTTATTTACACCTATTCACCTCGGAAGCTTCAGGGGACATGTTAAGTAAAACTGCAAATAAATTAATATATACCTCGGGTAGACCTAAAACATTTTCCGTTAAGACGCTAATGGCCGTTTTCACCAATAACCCCTTATCTGCAATTTTACTAAAAGTCTCTTAGCGTGACGTATCACCTAAACTACCTTACTTGTGCGGTTCGATATCAATTATGGATTGTTAAAAAAAAATAACTTTAAGAATTATCTATCTTAACGTAGGATATTATTTAAAAAGAGAAGTTGGTGATAACGAACACAAGTCTTCTGAAGAAGTATTTTAGTTAAAAGTAGTAAGTAAATATTAATAGAGGTTTTTTACCCAAAAACAAACTTTAAGAGTTTCCTGCTGTTTGGTCCTAAATGACCACAGATGAGTACGTAAATAAATAGACTTGGAAGTTGGAAGGAAAGAGTATAAATATTCGAATAAGTACCTTGTAGCCTGAAGGTACTGGCGTGGCTGATCAAAGGATCAATAGTTTGTAATTGAAATTAAAATAACATATATGGACATAATAAACTGATGATAAACAATTTAGGCCACTATTCCACGAGCCAATTATGTCGTGGCTGTGTTTGAACATACACTTGCATTATAAATCTTTTTTACTAAAAACACAGCATTTTAAGTAAGTTTCCAAGACTACAGAGTTAGAAGTCCTTGCTGAGTTGCAGGCCTTTTAAAAGGAGTACGCTACGGTACGCTCTTTTCTTCACGGTTTGAAGATCGTTCCACAGTTCTGTTGTGGTATGTAGTTAGGTAGGAATTTTTGGACTGCTATATCCATTTAAAGAATGGAGATGGAACAGCTATCGTATGGGACGGCGACCAGACGCGCAGGGATCAGGCCGAACGATTCTTCAGCGCACTCTCCATGATAAGTACCTACAGGCGATACAAAATGCACAAGTAGATACATGCATTCTTCACTAACTTATACTGTGTTTATTGTAGCCCACTTTATTTAAATAATAAAAAGGTACATTAATAATAGGTAATATTATAAAGACAATGTCAAGAATGGGACGACGGTTTGCCGTTTTTTTCTAAACTGTGCATATAACAAACACTTATATCATGAACTCTGTAAAAGCAACAAATTGAATTAAAATTACCTTTATTGAATTTCAATAGGCTTGTTCAGGCCCCAGAGTCGACAATGACGTATCCCGATACTGAATATAATTTTAAACAAATCACATTGGTTTCAGATATTACAGATAAAAGTATACATAAAAACTATGTATACAAAATTGTAGAGCATTATAAAATAAATTAAAAATAATAAAAAATCTATAAAAAATAGCTCAAAACATCGTAATTATGTACCGTCAACGTACACAAAAGTCATTTCAAGGCATTTATTTTCAGGAAAAGCAACCATAGACAAAAATTTGAGAAATAAGACTCATCTCATTTCTGTCTATTACTTAATTCGAACACTGAATACTTTTTTACGTTTATAACGTTGTCGGTATAAACGTAAAAAAATCTATTGATGCTCGGGTAAAGTATAGCTCGGGTTCACTCGTGTCGTCAATCTTGACCCCACTGTTAGACTCTGACTGACTGACAAACTCTGACTGCTGAGCTCAGACTCTGATAGCCCGTTTCAACTTCTGCGCAGTACCGGAGTACAGTATATTTTTCGAAATGATTTCTTCTTAAATAGAAGGGATTCGTTTCGGTTACATTCGAAAAGAGCGTTATGAAGTGTGGCCAAATATTCGAGCCGACTGACTGCCATTATCATTATAACCGCATAAAACGGGTTTCTTTCAATCGTCTCATGTTAGAATTATCTAAATTGTAATTAGTACTAGTAACTAGTAGAACTAACTAAATATATGTTAATATAGTTCTATGTTTTTGTAATAAGTAGATTCTGATAGTTATTTATACTCAAGGACGTAGTATGAAGGCGGACATAGTCTCTTGAAATAACAACTGTGGCACCTGGATACTACAGACTAACACACAGAATACACACACATTGACACGAAGGACATCTATCGCGTGACATTTCCCGTTATTACACTTCACACATTACGGTGTTGAAAGTACACGCACACACAGATACACCACTGACATTTCGGTGCTTCAATCATTTAAAAGTGAGATTACGTCTTGTCTTTTTTTCAACGTCCTTCTATATACCTACCTATATTGTTATTCAATAGTTTTCTACCTACGATTTAGATAAATATTTGAGAATTAGGAATTGTCGTTCTAGCTAGAATCTTAGTATACACAATGTATGAACAATAGTAATTGTACACATCGTTCTTGTACCTAAGCAACATATTTATAAGTTGGTAGGAACAGGCTATATGGAACAATAGGCGTAACGTTTGATTGCTGTGTATTTCTTTTGTTCAATTGTAGTTTTAAATGTACCAAGTCTTAGCCGATTGTGATATTTGTAGAATGATGTATACCTAGATTTACAATAAATTGCCTGGTTGTTCGAATGGCCATAAGTCCAACTTGTCGAACAAGTGGTCACATATTGTGGATTCTTAAAACCCTTACATTGTACCTCTTTTTTTTTTAGGGGGGAAAATCATCGAATGACTGCTCCCGCCTGGGTGAGGCGGGAGGGAGTGTCAGACTCTTACTGACTAAAAACCACCCCGTTCCTTCTCCTGCACGTCGAGCCGGAGCCCCGGTTACCCGTTAGGTTCTCC